TCCTTCTTAACGACAGATTCGTGATGATGAAGCCATTATGTTTTGATACTGTGGTTTTAAGAAGTGACCCAGAAATAACCTTTAAACGCAACCTCTCCCTACCCGCCTCACCCCAACCAAAGGACCAGATTAAAAGAGACCTAGCTCGTATGAATATTTATGCTAGAACCTCGGCCAGATCAGATTAGAGGAGTTCATCCTGCCGGGCAAACACGGATTCTGTACTCAGATTTAATGAGAAACTGGCATGTTAATAGCATATTGATGCAACCATTCATCAGGAAATCCATAAAGCACACCGAATGTGCCCTGGGCCTCAGGGCCCCAGAGAGGTGCTGTTTTTGTCATTTTAAGTTTGACCAGGAAAACTGTTGTTGCAATGAGAAGGATTCCAAAGACACTCAGCCTCCTTGAAAAGCTGAGGAGTGGGAATTCGAGTCTAGAAACATCCAGGAAATTGCTCCCTTGCATGCCAGTGAGTATGTTGGACAGACACTAATTCCTTAAAATGGGGTCTCACCCAAGAGGGTTCCATAGAGCACAGTACCTTTAGGGTGTTAATAGCTATTGCACAGGGAAAAGCCTTTAGGTCATAAATATGGGGCAAATGGTGAGCTGAACAGACTTCTTCACAGTCCACCCTGTGACTTTTCAGCAAGGAGAGAAATTATGCTGTGTTTCCCCCTTTTTTGGACTGTGGGCTTCTTCCTTTGCAAAGCATCACACCCAAAAGTGTACAACCTTTTGTCTCATGAATGCCTTTGGCAAGCTGGGGAAGCTTGGGGAATCCTTTTTCAAATAACATTTTTAAATGCCAAAAATAAGACACACAGATTACAAAGGAAACCAAATATCACACTACTAAAATTACTTTGAAATATCAAACATGGGTGTACGGTAATACATGTGCTTCTTTTATTTTTGTAGGTGCTTCCTTTTATAATGGGTCTGATAACTATAGTTGTTTCAAAATATTTATGGCTATAAATGATATCTTAAAATATCATGATATATTAAAATGGTCGATTCTCATTATTCAGGGTTCTGTGTTTGTGAATTTGCCTACTTGCTAAAATGTATTTGTAATGCCCCCAAATAAATACTCATGGCACTTTTGCAATCATTTTAATAGTATATTTCAGTCACCTGACCTGTATGTTCCCAGCTGAGGTAGAATAAGGCAGTGCTCTGTCTTCTTTTTTTAGCTTTCACACTGAAAGTAAGTGTCCTTTTCAAGACATATTGATTGTCATGTTTTGGGAAGTTTTATGTTTTTTGTTGGTGATTTCACTGTTTAAAATGCAAGTGTAGTGCTGAAGTGTCATCTGGGGTTCTTAAGTGCAAGAAGGCTGTGATGTACCTTATAGAGAAAAATAGATGTGTAGATAATCTTCCTTCAGATTTGAGTTAAACTGCTGTTGGCTATGATTTCAAGGCTAATTAATCAACTATCAATTAAATAAGGTGTTTTTAAACAAAATCCATACATGAAACAAGGTTATGTATTGATTGGTTGACCATAATGTTATGACCAGAGGCTCACAGGAACATAACCCTGTATTTCCCCTAGGAGCAATGGTTCAGTATTTGCTAATTCAGTGCTTAAGATGACTTAATGGAACATAACTCCTATGAATAATGAGACTTGACTGTAAATGTAATGTGATATGTAAATATTTGTGACAAAAATACAGCTGTTTTGTTGCCTACATTCACAATAAAAGGAAATGCTGTTTTAGAGGGTCTTGAATACAACTTTTCCCCATTTAAGTTCATAGGCACTCTAAATTCTGGGGGAGTAGGGTCCTCATGGACTTGAGTTAGGAATCTCTTTTCTAGTGGGGTTAACTGGTGAGAAGGTGGGGTGGGGCAACAGTGCATGTTCCTGGGGCTTAGGTCCCACTATGCTATATATCGATTTGAGTCACATATAAAGATTTTTTTTTTAGTTGATCTACTTTGGCTGGGGGCCCTGGAGATTTTTTTCACCAAGGCCTGAGACCAAAAGGTTCCATCCCAAATGGAAAATGCTCAGGAGTGGTGATAGGGGGAATAGGAGTTCTTGATAATTGTTCAAGCAGGAAAAGAGGAACTCTCTTTCGATAGCAAAGGGCTAGATAGGTCTTTCATCTGAAAATAGGAGAAACAAATGACAATGAACTGATGGGTGTTCTGATGAAGATTACAGGGGAGCCCAAGTCTCCCCACCAAGGGTCTCTGGGAGGAGGGCATCTTCTCATTAGTTGGTTTTCTTTCTTACCCTCTCACTTCACAAGTGTGATCTGATGGGACTAATTTAATGTGTCAAAAAAAAGAAGCTCTTTTTTTTTTTGGTTTGTTTTTAAGTAACAAGCAATAATGAAGTGTGTCTTGGAAAGCAATACTGATGTTTCATTCATTCATTCATTCACTCATTGACTCAGTACTACTTACTGAGCACCTTTTGTGGACCAGGCATTGTTGTAAGGCTGTGGAATCAGGAGAGAACATGACTGGCCAGGTTCTCTCTCTTGGAGCCTCTGTTCTGGTGTATCTCACCAGGAGGCCACTGCAGGAATGGGGGGAAGGGGATGGAGAGGGATGTGAGACCCCATGGGAAAGTCCTTCACGTGCCTCTCAGAGGATAGCACTCACATGCTATGATTCTGAAAAACTGGAGTCTAAAGGTGGTATCTCAAGAGGCACTGGTGCAGAAATAAAAGATAAAAGCTGTCCCCTGAAGCTATCTTATAAATTCTGGACACTCGGAAGTTATGAGAAATACACAAAGCACCTCATAGGGACAGAACATCCCTAAGCCAGAAAAAAAAATGTGGTTGAATCTTAAAGAAGGGACATGTCTGTTGGTGTGGAGTATAAAGATGGAGGCAGAATTGGACTCTCCTCATCCATGGGCTCCTGACCCCCTTAGGTGAGGGTCTGGCTTGGACTCCAGCTCTTGAGAAGACAGTGGTGGTATTTAGTACTTTGTATAGTATTGGTGTTTTATTAAAAAAGTGAGATGAGGGCAGCCCAGGTGGCTCAACGGTTTAGTGCTGCCTTCAACCCAGGGCCTGATCCTGGAGACCCAGGATCGAGTCCCACGTCGGGCTCCCGGTGCATGGAGCCAGCTTCTCCCTCTGCCTTTGTCTCTGTCTCTCTCTCTTTGTGTCTTTCATGAATAAATAAATAAAATCTTTTAAAAAAAAGTGAATGGGATGGTACTCCCATCCTCTCCCATCCATCGATTTTGTGAGGCCATGTCCCAGGAGCAAGGTCAGGGTTCAGGGTGAAGGCTCATCTGCCTTCTCATCTGCATCTGTTCAAGTGGAGGATGGGAAATACGGTGCTGATGAAACTATTCTCCAAGGTGGGGGCTTTGGTCCTGAAGAGAATTTAAACAGGAAAAAGTGGCAGGGACAGAGATGACTTCTGAGGAGTGGGTAGAAAGGAGGTGGTTGGTCTCAGGACAAGTCAGTCTGGGAACCTCTTCCCCATACTTTCTGAATCTCCCTATACACCCCGCACTTTCCAAACAACTCTAGTCCTCCAGGGCCTTCTGGAAAATGGCCAGACCTAAAATGAATTCTCTATCCCCTCAACAACAGCAAAAGCAGTACAAGATTGTCAACTTCACAAGTAGTCTGGGAAATTGAAATTAGAATAGCAATCAAGTAATTTGAAAGCATCTTAAACAGAAGGAAGATTAAATAGAATTCCTTCTAAAGGAATACAAGATTTTAGTGCAGTGTTCTCTGGGTATATCTTGAGACTAAATGATTAAGATTTCAGATTAAAAAAACCCAGTAAAACAACACTACAAGTATTGGTATTTGGGTGCTTCAAAATAATATGAGATGTTGGAACGCCAAGACCAGTAATGTACTTACTAAGACCCTGTTAGTGGACACATCCCTCAGGAGGATACAGGTGTTTGAGGTTTCCATAATCCCATACCTCTACACCTCATTGTCTCCAGTTCGTTCTCCTCATTTGTATTTCCTGCTGGAAACAAGCAGCTTCTTGCTGGCATGTTGGTCCCCTGTTGATCCACCTCCCTGGGACATGTACTGGTCATGCTGAACCAAGGGTTCTGTCCAGATGACGGAAATTAATGAATTGACACCATTTTAAGTGTTTGGCCCCTAAAACCGAACTCATAGACAATCTGGCAAATTAATCTTGTGAGCTGAGGTGGATTGACCATAAGTCTAAGAAAAAAGATTAAGTTTAGGGTCCCTTCCAAAGCCTTGGAAGGGGCCCAAGCAATGCGTTCACATGGTTACATGCTTTGCAAAATTTGCAAAAGTAGGATATTTTAAACACAACTGCTTCTTCTGTGTATACTTTCTTTTATATCTGGTGACGGTAGGCTAGCCATGGGAACTTTGGGGCAGTCAAAGTGGCGATCCATTTAGGATGGGTTTACATTGAAATATTTATGTGGTTTGCAGTCAGCCCAGTGCACAGCTGGGTTACTGCTATCTATCCTGGTATAGGAGGGGCTTCCAGGCATGTTCCTACTGTCCACCAGCATTGTTACAAGGGTGCAGAGCCAATGGGCCGATCACAGTATGAAAGTATCCTACAACGCAGCCCCGGTAGGTAGCTCAGTGGTTTAGCGCCGCTTTCACCCGGGGTGTGATCCTGGAGACCCGGGATCGAGTCCCACGTCGGGCTTCCTGCGTGGAGCCTGCTTCTCTCTCTGCCTCTCTCTCTCTGTCTCTCATGAATAAATAAAATAAAATCTTAAAAAAAAAAAGTATCCTACAGCTCCTGGCATGGGAAGTGGTGGATCATGGAGAAGAAACAAGGTGTAAAAGGCACAAAGCAGAAGCTGGTCCATGACAATGGATGGGGTACAGTGAGTGGGAGATTTTGTTTGCACTGGTGCCCAGTCAAAGCAGAGGTATCTCCACATTGAGAATATATTCAATAACAAAGCATACACAGTTATGCACACATCATCATTTTAATTTTTTGTCTTTACTGAGACAAAGATTTAGGTGCAGGTGGTTTATTTGGGAAGCATCCCAGAAAGCAGGAATGAGGGAGCAAGGAGAGGGACACAGGGTAGAATGAAGCATCATCTAAGGCATTGTTGCCATGAACAAAGGGGCTGACTCTGCCCTGAGAAACACACTGAATGCCTCCCCAAAGGGACCATGAAAGGAAGAGGCTGGTGCATTTATTCACTGGCTCCTGGGACCCCTGGGGTGGAACTGCCCCACACCTCTGGGCTGTGTCAAGCATGCTCCTGAGGGCAGAATGGAGGAGGATGTGCCCATGTGAAGTGGGATGCTGGCAGCATGACATGGGTCTGGGTGTACATCCCTGAATCCATGGCTGCATCGGTGATGGGCAAGGGAGATGACACACCAATGAGAATGGCGTACAACAGAATTTGCCAGAATTCCTGGGCGTATTTGCACACAAAACATTAACAATACTCCAAATAGGGAGTGTGTCTCTAATAGCTCTCACTCAAAAGAAATTTGATAGAGGTCTTCCCAGTTTGACAATTCTAAAAGTTTACATGACTTTACCAACTTTACGCAGTTGAAAGAAATTCTTCCAAATTATCAATAAAAAGAGACACGTTTTGCTTTTCTGTCCTTTCTGTACACAATGATATCACCAAATCACTGTTATAGGAAAGGATGATGAGATTATGCAGCCAGAGGATGTAAGAAAACCTTTTAAAGAAAATGGTCATCTTTTTTTTTCTCAATCATCTGGATTTTGTGGGGTTTATGCTATTTGGCAACTTTTAAAAATTCGTAATTTGTTGCGATTCCTTTTCTCCTTCTAAATAAACATTCAGGTTTGTCCCTGATTCTGTATTTATGGTTTTGTGTTTTCTTGTGAGCATCCTCGGCAGGCAGCCGGCCAGCAGCCTCCCCAGGGGCAGCCCTGGTTGCTGGCCCTCTTAAAGCAACAGCAGCAGAGTGCTGTTGAACTCTAACTGTTCATCAGTCCTGGTGAACCAAGGCCCTGGGACCTTTAATTTGTTTTTAAACAATTAGCTATTGAAGGGCACAGAAACTCTCTTGCTTGGAATGGCATCCAAAACACTTTAATGGAAGGTGATCTGAGGGACAAATGGAGGGGACTGCTCCCCGAAACACACAGAATCACGTTGTCATTCAGACAGACTCCAAGAGGAGAGAAAAGCACTTTGTTCTTGCCTCCCTGAGCTTTCCAGGAGTGCATATCCTGGAGGCACTCAGTGGCCTCCTTGATCTCCAAACACTTGTTCAATCTGAGGGTTGAATGGATTCTCCTTCCCCAGAACCTGGGGCCACTGGAGTTGCACCTTCTTCCAGAAGTGATCTGCCAACAGCAGCAAAGCCACCTGCAAGAGAGAACCCAAAGGAAGAGTAAAAGGGAAATTATAATAAAGTAAAGAATTTAGCAGCAGGATTTACTGTATTCTTTGTGTGGTGGGCAGACTCTAGCATGGTCCCTCATGACCATCCTAGACCATGCGTCTTTGTATAATCCTCTTCCCTTGATGTGGGTGGGACCTATCACTTGGTTCTAATCAATGGAATATGGGGAAGGTGCAAGGATGTCACTTCAGTGATTATGTAACATGGATGACTGCTTTGCTGGCCGTCCTTGCTTTGGGAGACTCTCTTTGCGGGATTGATGAAGGACAAAGGGACAATGGGAAGCCTGTATGGCAAGGGGCTGACATCCAACAAGAAGCTGGATCCTTAGTCCTAGAACCACAAGGAAATGCTTTCTACCAACAACCTAAGTGAATTTGAAAGCAGTTCTTCCCCAGTTGAGTCTCTGGATGAGGATGTGACCCGGATAACATACCTGGATTTTCACCCTGTGAGACCCCAAGCAGAAGACCCAGTTAAACTGTTCCAGCACTCTGACCCACAGAAACTGTGAATTCTGTGTTGTTTAGAGCTGCTAACTCTGAGGTGATTTTTTGACTTAATAAGATAGCAAATGCACATTTTCATTTATCTGCAGATAGCTAATATCTCCTACAGGCCTAAGGCTTCAGTTTTGGAGATGAACAGAATGAGTCTTTCCCTCAAGGAACACCTAGTCTAGGGAGGGAACCAGACGTGCAAAATGACACCACCAAACCCACAGAGGGGTCTGTGGGAGGCTGGAAGCGGAGGAGGTTCCAACTCTGCTGGATGGGGGGGAAGCGACAGGTCTCCCCTAAAGAGAGTGATGGCTGAGCTGGATATTCAAGGGGGAATTCACTCAGATGGATGATGTGCGAAACAGTGCACCTGGCAAAGGACAGCTTGCGCAAAGGCACAGAGGTGTGGAAGAGGACGCATGGTGGGAGACCAAGGGTGCCTGGGAGATGAGGCTGCAGAGTCACTGGGTCTAAGGGCACCGTGAGCACGAGGAGTGTGGCTCGGGTGCCAGGATGAGCAGTCATTGGCTTCATGCGCAACAGACCTGTCTCTGGCTTTCCCAGCTGGACGCCTAGTCTGGTTGCTTGGTTTTATAGCGGGTTTCCCTTTCCTCATGATGTTAGCAGGATCCATTCTGGATTGTCTAATCCTCCAGCCTGTCATTAACAGGCCTTTGATGAGGACTCCTTCTCTGCAGATAATGCCCTCACTTAGCAAATGGGGCCTGGCCAGGCCTTGAGGCCCTAGCTAGCTACATCTGCAAAGAGAAATATGATCGCCGAAGGCCTTCGTGGGGAACACACCATTCAGAGCAGATGCCCAGGGGCACCCCCAGCTTTATTCAGAAACACATGGACCTTGTCTCCAAAGGGCAGGTCCCGTTCACCATTCCAAGGCAGTGCCGTCAGCACCTGTGTGATGCTGGGCAGCCCCTTCTATTCCCTGAGCTGCAATTTTTCTGCTTGCAAAATGAGGCTCTAGAGTTAAATGATTTAAAGACCTGTCTGGAAAAAAACAAAAAACAAAACACAAAACTGAACTTTCTGGGTCTAAATTGTGTGTTAGGGTTCAGCAGCTGTTAGAAAAAACCAGAACCGGTTTAGTTGCTACATTAAATATCCCCAGTATTTCAATATGGCCCTGAGCTGTCTGAGGTGGACCCCAAAATTCTACATATCCAACCATGTAATCTTGATCATCTTGATCATATCTCTGCGGTGTGTAACAGAAACATGCCACCCATACCGCATACACACATACCCCATACGCACCCCCAAATACCATACACATCACATCACACCACACACGCCATATCCACCCTCCCCCCCATCAGACAGACACACACACATACATGCCTACACCTATACCCCCTTCTCTGCTCCCCCCTCCGCACCCCCACCCCCAAGCTAGCTGTCAGGCCAGCAGGTTTCCAGGAAGGGGTTGCTCATCTCTCCCGCACTAAGTAATCAGTGTCTTCGAAGACAGAAGACTGGTCTCTTGGCTGTTTTTCCTGGTATTTCTCAACAAAGGAGGCTGCCGCCAGGTCTGTGGAAAATTACTGCTTCTTCTGTTGTGTTTTGTTTTGTTTTTTCGCCTTTCCACCCTGGTATATCTAAGCTGTCTTCCTAACAATTATGTGAAACCAAGACATTTGTGGTTTTTTATTTCCCAATCTAAATTAATAAAGGGGGAGATGGGGTGAGGATAAGAAGAGGAAAGTTAAAAGGAAAGAGCTCAGCTCTGAGCATGTGGTAACTATTTGGTTTGAAAGCAATTAGTTGGCTGTCAGTCTAATGGAGATGAAGATATTTATGAGTGTGCACTGCTGAAACACTGGATCTAAAGCGAGAGTGGAATGGTTGTTATTAAACTCGAGACTTGTGATACAATGACGCACTACGCTCATTCACTCGTGTGGCAAACACTTACTGAGCATCTACTGTGGGCTTCTCTTATAACCAACCTCCTGTCGTGACTCCCATGAAACACAGGGCAAGGCACAGCCACCCTTTACCCTCATTACTCTGAACTAGCTATTCCCTGAACGTGAATATTTTGTTGTGCTTCCCTAGTCATCGTCTACAGCCGAAAAGCAATATCTACTCATCTGAGAAAAATCTGAAAAGACAATTAAGCACAAAGAGAAAACAGAGCAAATGAAAGTCGTCTGTAATTATAATCGAGGTAGCCAACGTTCACGTCGGGCGGAGAGCCTTGCACGTGCGCGCACATACGCACACACACACATGCGTACGCACCCTGGATCCTTCTGTAAATATCATTTTATATATAGTCTGCTCTTTCTGAGATATGATTTACACACAGCGGAATTAACTTCTTGTGATAAACAGCTTCGTGAGTGTTGACAAATGCATACAGTTGAGTAATCGCCCCCACAATCTGTAGTCTGCTTTTATTTACTTTGCTCTATATTACAAACATCTTTCTGTGTCACTAAAGGTAGATCTAAATCATTGTTCTTATTCAGTGCACGGTATTCCATCAGATGGGCGCAAGCTAATTTATCTCACCGGGGGAGACTTTTGTCACACATCTCCCCAACATGTGCCCTCAGGATGGGGGAACAGAGACAGCTTCTTCCTGCCAGAGCACGAAGCCTCTGCAGCTTGGAAGGGGTTCCTGGGCTGTGTTGCTCACTAACCCTACCAAACACATGCATGGGGTGACGTCTGGTCCAGCAGAAAGCTAGGGAATAGGGGGCTCTGGTTAAATGAGATTTTCTGGTTAACTGAGGCCCTTAAGAATCTCTTCCTCTGGAGCTGACTCGGCTGCCTGTAAGCTCTGGCCAGGCCCCAGCTGCAGTGAGTCCAGGGAGCTGCCCGTGGGTGGTGTGCTCTTGTCCAGACACCACTGCCAACTCCAGCAGGTGTGCTGCTTCCTCTGGCTAGGTCCGCCCCTGAGGAGCACTGGTGGTGTTTTTGCAGGTGCTCCTGCAGCCCCGGTGTTTTTGTGGGAAATTGCCACCCACCTGGGTGCCTGCTGCTGCTGCTCAGAAGCCATCAAGGTGCCCACGGTGACGGTCACTGGTCCACTGTGAAGGCTCCTCTGTGAGATTCTCACAGAAGGCGCAACAAAGCGGGGTGACTCAACACCCTGTTGTCTTAGTGAGCCTGGTGAAACAGGTCGTTCAGATTTTATTGGCAGCCCCCAAGGCCCCCAGGATTGAGGCATGAGTCTGGGGAGAGGGGAACAGGAGGGTAGGAACCTGGTACGGTTTCGGGTAACAGCCAACATATGGCTTTTAGACCGTCTCTCCCTTCCAATGATAGTTTTTAAATTGAGCCACGCTTCTTTGCTTAACCATATTTGGACTTATGCTGAGCTCCTCTCTAGGAGAGCGTCTGGTCCTCCAAGGAAATATACTCCTTTGGGTCCACCCCACAGATTCATGAGACACGCCTAGACACAGCAGAAGCCCAGCAGTGCTCACCGCTGGGCATAATCCAGGGTTCCTTCACATTCCTACTTCATAAACTAATTTTACGTGTTTTGTTACAAAAATAGAACCCATTAGTAAGACAACTATAAAATCAAACTCTAAATAGTAACTACCTTTCTATAATATTAAAAAATAAATAAATGCAATCCAAAACAAGATTGCATAGGTTTCACCAAAAACTTATCCCTGATCCCTTTTAAGTTGAACCCTTGCTAAATTTAACTCTGGGGTTTTATGAGACCAAAGTTAAAAATACACTCTGAATTTATTTTTCCTGTAGGAAGAACATTTCTGGGCTATCTTGGTAAGATTGCTTTTAAACGCCTGCAGGGAAGCCCTTACCACAGGGAAGGCATGGCTCTGCTTCTTTGGGCTCTTAATCAGCCCAGAAATACAGTCTATTGGACCTGGTTACTTTTGGTCCCAATTAATTTTATTTTTATTCTTTGAGAGAGAGAGAGAAAGAGAGAGATTGAAAGAGTGCACACAAGCAAGCAGGGGGAGGGTCAGAGGAAGAGGGAGAGAGAGAATCTTGAGCGGGAGCTCAATCTCATAACCCCAAGGTCATGACCTGAGCCAAAACCAAGAGTCAGACACTCAACTGACTGAGCCACCCAGAGCCCTTGTCCCAATTAATTTTAAATTTGTAAACCAACAACATGACAACAGTGTAAGATGTATTTAGACATTTACATCTAGGGCAAAATGTAAATTTTCAGCCCTAGCCCCCCTGTGCTGACTCAGTGTGTCATTTCAGAACCACTGTTGCTAGTTGGCTTTATGTATAAAGCAAATTGAAGAGAAGTGGTCCCTGGTGCACCGGCAGGGCCAGCAGAAAGGGACTGTGTTTGAGGGTTTCCTGGCCCAGAAGGCCCTCCTCTCCACCCTCCCCCCTGCCACCAACTCTTCCTTCTTTGAGGGACTCCACAAATCCACTCAGGACCCTGGGCTCCCAGAGGATTATACGTGGAGATAAACAAAGACCTAGAGGCTTATTAACGTTTAATAACCAATTATATAGATAGTAAATATTAAAACCTAATCTATATATAATTTAAAACCAATCCGCTGATCAGTATCTTGTCTGCCTCCAGCAACATACAGGTTCAGAGCTCAAGAGAAAGTAGGGGAGTGGGTGTCATGGAGAATTTATTGCTCGCAGGAAGAGTTTTAGGATGGTTTGAGTTGCTACTGGCATCCTAAGAGGAGAGGAGGTGGTCTTGCAGAGAGCTCTGCTGGGCAAAGCTGCTAAGGCAGGGGGCCTTAGGGATGTGTAGCCGGGTGGTCTAGGAGAAGCCAAGGAAACTGGACTTGATGCATGTCTGTGGCTCTTCCAACATTTTCTGTTTACTATCGTCTGGTTTTAGGCCCAGAGATCTTTTAAAGTATCTCTTCAGAGGTTTAACTTTGCAGAGGTTTTAAAAAGTGAGTATTTGAATTAATAGAGCTGCTATGGCTCCTGCAGGCCACAGATCTGGGTCTTGGGTCTTCGCAATATCATTTCTTCTGTAAGTCAAACTTTCTTTCCATTTGGTCAGAAGTTTGGCTGTTTTCTCCCCCTCTCTACTATACCTGCTCCTTACTGGAGGCATCAAATGATCTCCTGGGTTTCCTCTCCAGTAGGTCCTTCCATGATGGGCAAAGGTCACAATTTGATCCCATTGGCCAAGCTCGTTCCCGCAAATGTTTCCAGTTCTCAACCAGATTCTGATGATTTCCAAACCTGTGTCTCCAGGCCAGGCTCCTCTCCTGAGGTCAGAAACCATCAGCTTGATCTAATGGTGATTTAGACAGTTCCATCTGGATATCATGTAGGCATCCCAAATCCAGAATGCCCAAACCTAGTCCTTCCTCTTCAGGGTTCCTTGACTTGGTATTTTTCACATCTATTCATCCAGATGCCCAATCCTATGAGTCATCTCCTTCCCACCCACCAAATCCCATCAACTGTCAAGTCCAGCATTATAACCTGCTTCTCTCCCTCATATTGAAGAAGATGTTTTTTTTTTTTTTTTTAAATTCTGGTTCTATATTTGGGGAATGAGATGGAAAGGTAAAGTGGTTGTCAGTTTATGTCAAGATTTTTTTTCTAAGCCTGGTTATTTTCCATTAAAATATAAGCAAAGAGTTTACATAATAGAATTTGGTTAGAATTTAGAATGTATCAACCATAAATTTGAACTGTTCAACACAACTCATGTTTCTACTTAATTAAACTTGTCTTCTTAAGAAAATTGGAGTGGTTGAATGAACACTTCTGCTGTTTCTCTTACAGGGAGAAGAAATAGGCCAATAAGATAAAGCCTGCTCCCTCCCTGATGTTTACCAGCCAGTACCAGCTGTTTTTGCTCCGATGTACAGGAATTGGCGGGAGGGCACTTAAACATGGCCTGGCCTGAGTCTACTCCTTTAGTTGGTGTTATTATGTCCATCCTATTAGCATGAGGTCCTTAGACTAACCTTGCCCATCTGGCTCTTTTAAGATGGAAAAGATATGGACTCCTATAGCTCCCTATATTTTGTGCATCATTTGCTTGTGTGTGTTTCTGTGTGTGCATGTGCACATATGTGGCCGTTTTAAGTTATTAGCTTATAAAATAGTAGCATAAGGTTCCAAAAGGATCCATTAATGCTGCCCCTGCTATAGGGTGCATCATTTGGGGGGAAGTTTACAGGTACACCAAGAGGCTCCTCTTCAAGGCTTCAAGTCACAAGTCTATCCTGGTGTGCTCACATCTGTAGCTTCCGCCCAGATTCCTTCCTGAGCTCTTAGCTTATGTATTATCAGCTAAAAAGACACCTCCATTTTGGATGTCCTGCAGGCTCCTTTAATCCAACATGTGCCAAGCTCCTTCTCAAACCACCCCACCCTCTGTGTTCTTTACCTCAGAGCAAAAGAATCATCGATCCAATTTCCCAAGTCATAAAAGAAGTGTCATGCTTAGCATCGCTTTCTTTCACTCTCACGTCCCGTAAACGGCCATGTTCTGTTGCTTCAACTGTGTGAATCTCTCCCATGCGGACCTTTCTCTTCCTCCCCACTCCCCTGAGCCATCCTCTCTCACCCACAGAGGCATCCTCCAGGCAGTCTCCCAGCCTCTTGAAGGACCCCACCACACCATTCTCCAGCTGCTACCACAAGTCTGCTTATTTTTCATTCTGGCATAAGAACCTTTCATGGTTCCTCCTTTCCCACAGGAAAAAGGTCAAACCCCTTAACAGACCTTATGTGATCTGGTCCCTGGATACTTCTCTTGATTCCTCTCTCTCAACCCCATAGTCATACTCTATGTCCCAGCCGTACTAGCAGCACTTTCATTTCCTCCTGTCCCACTGGGGTGTTTCCTTTTGTTTGGCTTTATTTTTTTGCATTCAGGTCTTGGCCCAAGCAGTTTCCTCTACTCATAACACTCTGTGTACCCCGTTTACTCAACCTGCACTTGACTAGCTCTTGGTCTTAGTTCTGAGGGAGCGTCTCTGAAAACTTTTGCAAACATCCCTCTTTCCAGTCCCATCCCATATAGTGCTCCCATAGCACCGTGCTCACACAACTGGAGGCACCAACCACTTTATATTTAATTATGTGTGTACTTGTCATTCTTTCCCTCTAGACTATAATCTCCTTACATGGCAAGGGCAATTTCTTGTTCACTCTTGAATTCTCACTATGTTCAATATAGGGTAGGCACTCAATAAACATTTTTGGATGGCAAGTTGCAGTCTAGATTCTTCAGCTCAATGTACATGATAAGTAGGCAGGTTTTAAGCATGGCCATCCATTGCTGCTCACGTTGGATGTGGTCTACCATACTATCATCTGCTGCCAGCACATGAACAGATCTCTCAGGGATAACATAGATTATGGCACACACTGATTTTCAGCATTCATTCATTCATTCATTCATTCATTCATTTTAAGAAGGCTTTATGCCCAACATGGAACTTGAACTTATGACCTTGAGATCAAAAGTCACATACTCTACTGACTATGCCTGCTGGGTACACTGCCACCCTGACCACCCCCCCACACACACACACCCCATTTCCCAGCTTTTGACCCTGTTCTCAATAATCAGTTTTAGGCAAAGCTGTTTGAGTGCAAGATAGAGCTCTAATTTGACAGGCTTTGAACCTAATATTATTTTAAGTGTCAGGGGCAGGATGGTCTTTTGATGGATCAGACAAGCATGTCCCAAAGGTTAAAACAAAGCTATTTTTGATCCTCTCCATTTTAGTTTGTTCCTAATTAACTCTTTCTCTGACCATTTCTTCAGATCCACAATTCTCCCTAGGATCAGAAATGTAAAATTCTGTGATATGTGGGAATGACAAGAACCTAATTATTGCCAGAAAGGAGGTCTCCATATTAAAAAGCATTCTAAGAGAAAGCCATCATTCTGTGGGGGAGCAGACTCTAATATTTAACCAGCTTCTAACCAATAATTCTGTTGGATTAGATGATCCAAATGATACGCAAGGAAGTTAGATATTCTGAGGTGAATTACTTAGATTTTTTTTTTTTAGTTGTTTAAAACAGGGAGATGGGCATTTGATGCTCATTTTAAATTTACCCAGCATTTGTGGGACTCCACTGTTTATACGTCTGTCAATGGAGTGGCACTCTTTTGTTACTTTTGAGACAGTTCTTAGCCCTGCGGGTGGGTACACAGAGAGCCTATAGCTGGAGGAGAGGTGGACTGCCATTCCATTCAGGCTTGGCCACCGAGACCAAGGCCGCTGGGAGAGCACGCCAGAACTGCTTCTGTGGGTTACACCCTTGTCAAAGGTTAGACCAGAAAGACTATAGTTGCAAAGGATTGCCAGCTTTCAAAATTTGAAAAGTGGCAGAAGTACTCCCATACTTCTTCATTTGTTTTAAATGAAGAAACATCACAAGCAGTTCCAGCATGTATGACAGATAAAAGTGGGGGATCCCTGGGTGGCGCAGTGGTTTAGTGCCTGCCTTTGGCCCAGAGCGTGATCCTGGAGACCCAGGATCGAATCCCAAGTCGGGCTCCCGGTGCATGGAGCCTGCTTCTCCCTCTGCCTGTGTCTCTGCCTCTCTCTCTCTCATTCTATGTGACTATCATAAATAAATAAAAAAATTAAAAAAAAAAAAGTGGAGCTTCCCTGGGTGAAGTTAGGATAATGGATAGGGTGAGGGTAGGAGGGGATGGATCCCCACCCTCCACCCCGCTGTGATGGGTGAAGAGGCCAGAGTAGAGCTGCTTTCCAGAATTGTACCTTGGAATCCTAGATAAGAACCAGCTCTTACTGCAGGATATTGCTAAGGACACTGTTTTCCTCTCATCTAATGTACTTTCTGGAATGACCCAAAGAAGAAATTGCTCACAGGTCTCTATTCCAGGAATCCTTGTGATATTTTTTAAGTTTGATGTATTATTATTATTATTTTAATAAAAATACATCAGCCCCTAGAAAAACAGAGCTGATTTTGCAGGCTCTTGGGGGCAGTTTCTCAGGACTACCCTGCACACATTTTATCAACTGTAGGCACTGAGTCAAGATGCCAGGTATCATTTCTATCTTACTTGCCTTTTACTCTTTCAGCTTATTTTTATTGAAGCTTCTATCTTATACATGTGAGTACATCTTTCTGGAACAAAAGGGGATAAAAATAAACACATGGGTGCATAACGATATCTTAAAAATAAGGCAGCAGATAGCCTTCAGCAACCGCTGTGTGGCTGTACTTACCTCATTGGGGTGGAATCCATCGACTGGTTCAATGAGCTGCCAAGGCTGCCCGCCTCTTTTCTGCCACTCCTCTGTGACTGCAGGGCACACACACAACCAGAGGTTAGAGACACGCTCCTGTGGGTGATGGTCAGCCTTTGAGAGCAAGGGTCACGTGGAAGAGGTCAGAGCTGCCCACTGCCTGCCAGTCCGATGCCTTCTCCCCAGAGGCTGCTCTGGGCTGTTATCTCCGGTCTGAGGCTTTCTGGATGGAAATGACCTTCCCATTGTATGGTCTCCTTCCTTCCTTCCTTCCTTCCTTCCTTCCTTCCTTCCTTCCTTCCTTCCTTCCTTCTTTCTTTCTTTCTTTCTTTCTTTCTTTCTCTCTTCCTTTCTTTTTTTTGATTTTCTACCTAACTCAGGAGGAAAATGTATGAAGATGTTGGGTGACTGTGGTTTGTGCAGTGAGGAGGGCGGTGGGAAAAGGTGAGCTCTGAAATATTCAACACGGAGGGAAACTCATCTCATTTCTCGGTAGGAGAGTATTGCAAGAGGAGGAGGGAAAATTAAACATTTTGTTAACATCCCGTTTTCGTGGGCTGCCATTTCCAGATACTGCCGGCATATGTCAAGCAGTCACCATTAAAAACCGTACGGTTTGTCAGGAGGATAATTACATAAAATTATCTCAACATCACATTTAGAGTGAGTGTGGCTACAGAGGAAATATTATGAGCCCCAAAGTGATGCAAAGCAATGAGACTGCCCTTCAATAGGAGTAGGAGACCAAGAATGTCAGTTGCTCCAAGGCGATAGCACCGTTAACTCTATACTGTAATATTATACAGTCAGGAGGACCCCTCAAGGAGATTTCAAATCCCTGGAGAGCCTCCAGACAAAAATATTGGAGGCCTGCTGCCCTCACTTCCTTGGTGTCCAGAGAGCGGACCAGGCACAGCTGCAATTTTTCCAGTTCTTCACTCTTCACCCCATAAAGACCAAGAGCAGGGATGTGTGCCCTCTCGGTTTCCCCCATCTTGCCCCCAGGGAAGGCATGGAAATTCTACTGGAGGCCTTGCCTGCACAAGTGAAGCTTGTCCACAGAGCTGACTCAGTGCTATGCTGCTTTGGTAATTAGCCCTAATATCACGGCATGCCACCCCTGCTTGCTACCCAACCCCTGTTCCCTGCAAATACTGCTGCCCTTCTCAGAGCTCAGGAAAGAGTTCCTGCTGGTGGTTGGAAGTCCTACACACAGGATCACCGATTCCTGTTGGCTTCTTCACCTGCAAAACGCCTGCCACTGAGCCGCTCCTTCATATTTTGCGTCTGGGTTTTATTGGGAGTCAGTGATAACGTATTCCTTCCTGCCAGGAAACATGTTTCTGCTGCTGCATGAGTCCCCACCCCTCCCCATTACAAGGGAGTCCAGTCTTTAGAAGAACGGTCTTATCATATGGAATAATCCAATAGGTATTAAAAGAAATGTCGCAGGTTACCAAGGCTACAATCAGTCTATTCAGAGTGAAAAACATCATTTTCTCACATGGTTATTGTGTCTGCGAGCGTTACCAGTCATTGCTCATCTGGGGACATGGGTATTATAACACTTAAAGGGAGAATCAGAAACTCACAGGCAAGAGGTTAAGGTTTTATCTGTATTGTGACCAGTGCTAGACAGAGGGACCCTTTTCCATTTGTTGATCTTAGGGGGAAATTTTGCTTTCTTAGAATATATGCAATACCGGTGGTCTCTGTTTCTTCACTATCTGATTTTATTTTATTTATTTTAAAGATCTTATTTATTTATTTATTTATTTATTTGAGAGAGAGAGAGAGAGAGAGAGAGAGCATGAGAGGGGAGGAGGGCAGAGGAAGAGGCAGAAGCAGACTCTCCACTAAACAGGGAGCCCCACATGGGACACTGGGATCCCAGGACCCTGGAATTACAACCCCAGCCAAAGGCAGATGCTTAACCAACTGAGTCATCCAGGTGCCCTCTGATTGATTTTAGAGGAGATGCAAGCAGGGGCAGCATGGTAAGTTGGTCTGTTTTCTTCCTACCTGGGACCGCAATCAAAAATAGGTAAATGAATTCCTATTTGCTCAGAAGACCTGAATTTAAACGTCTCGAATGATCGTGAATGATCTCTTGGGGTTTTGGCGCATGATGTAGTTTCTGTATCTGTAAAGCCCAATGACCAGCTGTTCAGGGATGCGATAGAAGTCATTGCAGAAGAGTCACAAACACCGGGTAGCTCCTTGATGAGCAGCAACCCTAGCAGATATTTAAAACAAGGAATCTGACTTCTGGCCAGCACCATGAAGTGATTGGTTGTTTTACACACATACATGTGGGGAGGACTAAGAACCAAGTTTACTCCAATTGAGTTGTCTTGGAAACGGAGGGCAGCTGGTATATTTAAACTGTCGGTGTAAAAATGGCCTTGTCAGCCAAGTGGCATTTTCCTTCCTCTGTTTAGGAGGTGTGGGACAGACAAAGAAAAAGGACATCACCTGCTCCAGCTGGCATTTCCTGAAGGGAGAAAAAATTGCTGCCTCTGTTTAGCTCATAACCAGTTAGAGGATGAGTCAGCAAGAGACAAAAAGGAGTCTTTAGAGATGAGCAATAGCCTCTCACTGCGGGACTGACGCCGTCAGAGTGGAGAACAGCTAGGTCTCATGCCGACCCTCAAGGGACAGCGACCCTCAGCTGCAATTTGCTCCTGCACCGGGTGTGGAACTGTAAATTTCATATGAAAATGGGAATATTTGTGATGCCGTAGTCAGCTCAAATACAGCACTGGAATGAGAGGGGAGATTTTCACGTGACCACTAAGGTGGCAGGTGTAACAGTGGCCTTACAGTTTTTGTGTCTGGTAACACAAGACCACATAGCTCATGAGATGCATTTCCACCACAGCTTCCTCTAGGGAGCTCAGAGTGGTCCAGGGGTATGATTGGTGATGGGAGGGGGGTTGGACACTGGAAGAGAATCGACATTTATCCTTCTTCCATAATAAGCCCTAGAAGAACGTAGTAGGTGCTAACAGAGTTCTCACTACATTGCGGAGTTGTGTCAATCCTCACATAGCCCCCGCGTCCCCCCACCCTCCTGGTTTAGTTATTGCTACCTTACACAAAAGGGAAGAAAGAGTGGTTATTTAACTGCTCGAGGTTACGCAGTCATTCTGTGTCTGAGCTGGGACAGGGGCACAGTTCTATGTGGTGGCCAATGTCCATGGGGGCAGATCCCAGCTTGCAGGTTCCCCTGCCTGCCCTCCAGGGCCTGAACGTCGTCCCTAGTGGAGTGCCCACCAACGACACATGGAGAAGGCAAGGAAGGCCCTCTACCAAACCTGGATCTTCAGATTTATTTCTCATAAATGTCTCTCAGGAAATTCCTTAAACTGTTGACGATTGTTGCCAAGTAAGGACAAATACGGAGGAGACTTCTCAGTAAGGTGACCCACTGCCACTTGATATAGAATGTTCACTTGGTTTAACTTTTTTGCCTTATACTGCATTTATTGTTGCTGTGAGGACAAGAAGGGGCTGATGAGCCTCTGCTTCAACCTGTTAGGTCACCAGCGGAAAGCAGGCTGTACTGCGTCAAGGGTAAAGCTTTTCTGCCTATAGTTTTCATGGAGATAAGGGCTGTTTTGTTTTTCTGACAGCTATATTCCCGGCACCTACACAGTACATAGTAGGACTCAGTAAAAATCAGATGACTAACTAAATTCTTAATCTTGAAGCTTTACAGAGCCCCATTTATTAAATTTTAATGTGCCTATGGGTCATCTGTGGGTTATGCTAAAATGCAGTTTCTAATTAGGTAGGTCCTAATTAGGAATGGAGCCCAGGGCTCTGCATTTATAACCTGTCCCCAGCTGGTGTGGATGCTGCTCATCTGAACCACACATTAAGTAGCAAGGCTGTGAGAGGACGGTCCTCTTTCCTGGGTACCGGCTATGTACCAGGCACGACATTTAGGAGAATTACACACTTTTTCCATACAATCATGACAAAGATTTATTTTGTAGATATGGTAACTCCATTTCCAGGTCTGGAAAGGAGAGTTTGGACATGTTCAGGGAATTGCCTACATTCCCAAAGACAATAAATGACCGGGCTAGAGATTACTTTGGAAAATGAAAAGTCCCATGTGAATGTTAGACATTATTATATTTTTAATAACTTTATCTATATTCAAGGTTGATGATCATCAAAGATCACTTGGTGGTGCATTTGTTTACCAGGAATTCATTAATGCGTCCTTAGCTCTGCATTTTAATGAGAGGTTATTTATCAAAATGTCTCTCCCCAGGAAAGAATTATGTATCACCTAGGCAGGAAATCTAGTTAAGGGAGATCAGTCCTGTTGAAAAGCTGTTCAGGATTGAAGTACGAGAGTGTGCAATGCAATACGTGTCAGCTAATGTAAAATTTGATAATTCATGATGGCCATCTGCTTCATCCCAGATGCTGGGGCTGGGGGTGTTGGTGGCAGGGAGAGAGAGATGATAAACTCTGGATGAGACCTCTTCCATCATTTGCATACACTGTAAAGCCTTCCATTAGCATCATCTCAGCTGGCAGTCCATCAACAGGAGGCTTTTCTCTTGTATAACAAGTGCTCAGCAATGAAAATGAGACTGGGAGGATTAAAGTCAATAAATGACAATTTTTCAGAGTCAAGATGTAAAGAATAAATCAGTAGCTCCAACAATCATGCCTCTTTTCGTGTGGCCACTCATCAGTGACCCCCGTGTTTGGACACAATGCTAGGAAAGAAATAGTGATGTTCTTTCCTGAAAGCTGGGATCTGGGTTGTCCACCTTGCCACCGGCAAATCCAAGGCCCCTTCCTTAAAGACTCTGATAAGTTATATCATGTGTGGGGGTTGGGAATCTGCAAGGCCATCGAGTCCCTAGGTAATTCAGTGTCCCTCCGGGAAGCACTGCCTCATCATCCTTCATTCCTGCAACACTCATCTTTAGCATCTAAGCGGGGCATTGCTAGACTGGCAAGGATGAGCCAGGTCATTCCATGGATCTGTGGCTCCCAGCCCAAAGCTGTCTCCATCTGGTCATTGGCTCTGTTGCTTCAGAGATTCTAAAATGATCTTGAAATGGGGTGATGGTAAGCTTCCTCCCTCCCTGAAAGGGTCTCACACTTTATCTTTTTTTCAATACTAAGAGCTGTTGGTGTCAACATGTGCAGGAGCCACCCTGGCCAAGCTACGTTGGCTTGTAAACGCTTTGCTAAGTCAGGCTCTAAACTGTAGTGGCTACTTTTGTCTTGCGTCAATAAGTTTTCCAGGCAAAACTTACCTTCCTGGAAGTCAAAATCCACGTAGAAAAGATCGAAGTTCGTAAATTTCTTGCTGGCTGCAATTTTTTTCAGTGTATGGGAGAGTTGTTTTGCTCTCTGAATATAAAGGAAATGGGGAGAATTCCATAAAATCCACATGTTAGTGGGACAATTGGGGCAGCACAAAGAAATGGTTAGCCCTTGCCTCTCCCACCCCCCCACCACTTGGAACCAGCAGCAGAGGGATGCTCTGCTCCTTCAGTTCTAGTCCTGCACAAATGGCTAAGGAACACACAGAACTGTTAACATTCAATAGGAATCAATCAATGAAAATTAAAGGAATAAGAAATCACTTCTTTCCCATGGGATTGGCGAAGAGATGATGAATGACCATGATAATATGGAATATCGCCCTGGGAGAGGTGACTGAGAATGTCAATTTGTTTAGCTTTTCTGGAGAGCGATCTAGAAGTAGGGATCAAAGCCTTAAACGTCCCCATACCCTTTGACCCAATAATTTATCTAAGAATTTGTTGGAAGGAAGTAGACACAGTTTAGGAAGAAATATATAGATATATACACACACAGGTTCATCAAAGTGCTATTTTTCACAGTGAAAAATTGGAAACTACCCCTGTGGCCAAGACTAAGGAGTGAAATAAATCATGGCACATTCATACGCTGTATACTTTAAAGTGGTTACAGGATTATGCTGGGGAGGAATAACTTATTAACTTATGAACATCAGAAGGCACCAAACAATATGTGTACTCTGATATTATGGAGGCAAAACCCCTGCAAATACCTGTGAACCTGAACCTATAGTATCTGAAAGACACATATACATACTGACTTTGGATGGTGGGATTTGGGGTAATTTTTGTTATCATTCTTTATGTCTCAGCTTTTTTATATCCCCCAAGTTTTTTTTTTTAATTGAAATATAGTCCTTTTGTAAAAAAAAAAAAAAAGATCAGTAAATCTTCTGCAAAGACATTATTCACCATCTGTGAAAGAAGTACATGAGCCTTGGATCCCCTCAGTGCAGAGAGGAGGGCTGCGGAGCACCTGGCCCACCTTGGGAGAATGCCAGTCATCCATGGGCCTAACCTTGCTCACACCTCTTTACCTCTACAAGTACGGCTCGGACCAGCTTTAAAAGGTGTGTATGTGTGTACACGTATGTGTGCGTACAAGAGACGGAGGCACACACGGAGCAGACCCAGAGTGAGGCAGAAAGAGAGGGACAGGGCACCCCACATTCTCTTGGCTTCTCGAACACCCTGGCAGTTTGATGTTTTTATTCACCAACTTGGAGGCCATTGCCCTGCCCAAATCCCATTCCCAGCAGAAATGCTGCAGTAAACACCAGGAAAGAATGATCAAAGATGGTATCAAAGGACCTGCTAGAGTCCTACCTCTGAAGTGAGAGTCCGGAGCGTCTTGTTGGAGGACATCCAGCCGTGGCAGGGGCTGACCTGAGAGTAAGAAAACACCGCTTTGATTACAGAGGAACAACGCCAGTGACAGGGAAGGCGGCCTTGGAACAAGTCAGCGTGGGCTCACCTGGAGACAGTTCAGGAAGGAGTAGAAATGCGCATAGGTCACGTCCTTATTTAGCTGGCCTGGAAGACAGAGAGGTCTGCTGTGTTGTACTTACTCAGACCTAGCAGCCAACTGGGGATGCTTGTGGGGTGAGCCTGCCTCTCCTGCCGAAGGGTGGCGCTTCCAGGGACCTGCCCCCATTTCTCATGCATTGAAGGATGCCTGAGTGTTCCTTCTTTCTGAGTGCCCTGGAAATCAGAGGGAGCTGGGGAGGGGCCCTAGGGAGTTTACTCCCATCTCAAGCTCTTGCCCTAATCTGGACCCCAGGTAGAGGCTACAAAGGCACCATACAGGCTGGAACACCACTAACAAAGGCCTTGCAGAGCAGTGGCTTTCTCAGGGCAGTGGTGTGAGATGCCAAGTTCCCATAGGGTAGAGAGACCATTCAAGGTGGTAGGTGGCCAAAGCCTCCTTTTTGGCTTTATGTAACACGAAGGGCTGCCAAATTATCCCATGCTGAGGACCTGCCAGGACAGTCTGGGCATCTGAAGTTCTGCCCATGAGCTGCCCGGCCGTTTGGTAGACTGAAAGCCTCCAACATTGCTTGATGGAGAGGGACAGCACCTCATATCCCTTCACAGCTCAGTGCCTGTCTTATTTGAGCCCTAATTACTACATATGCTCTAATTTACATTTTGGTGCAGGTTAAAGAGGTACGTAAGAATAAAGGTGGGGGCACCAGGCTGGCTCAGTTGGAAGAACACACAACTGTTGATTTCAGGGTTGCGAGTTCGAGCCCTACATTGGGTGTAGAAATTACTACAAAAATAAAACTTAAAGTAATAAAAGTGTTAAGTGCCATATGTGAGCTCATCCAGAGTCTTTCCAAACATCGATTGTAGATATAGAATCTGTGGGGGTATTTCTTTTCTCTTCTCACACACCTCCCCTCTCCCCCCACCTCCCAGCCTATCCACCCCTGGAGGCCATTCGACTTTCATGCTGTGGCTGAGACACAAAACCAGGCCCTCCCGAATCTCAGGGGTGAATGACTGATGTCTTATCCATTAACACTTCTCTCATGCTTGAAAAAATAAAGGAAAATAATAGGACCTATCTCAGAGCGAAGAGAAAGATTGAAGGTGATAGAACACAGTCTTATTTTTCACTTATACCTCAGATCAGTTAGACTGAAAGATAGATTCAATTTTCTTGTCATAGAGGAAATATATATTCTCTTTCTGTGTGGGTGAGTGACTCCCAAGACTGGAAAGCCACAGGCTTATTATCGCCATTAAAGTCACAATGACACGCCAGGCTTCCTCTGTTCTCCAAAGGTGCCTGCATCTTCATATTTTGGATGAATCCCAAGTCACTTGCTTCTGGTTTTGCTCTCATTTTATGCTCAACATGGAGCCCTGAGCTCACATCTTTCTCCAAGATCCTGCTTTCCACTACTGAGGCTTCTTTCCCTCTATTACGTATGCATGCCTCTGTGTGTGTGTGTGTTTGGTAATTTGCCTTGCTATATGTGTCCCCATCTGTCTCAGCCTAGCCAGCTGCAGTGACAAACACCTCCTACCTGCATTCCCCATCCTCCAGCCTCTGTGTCCCAAAGACTTCACTCTTGCCCCCTTCCGGTACTGCCCCTGAACTGCAGCCTTCCCTCTGCCATCTTGGTTTTGTGTTGCTGTCGTTGTTGGGCTGGGGCTTTGTAATAAACCTTAGGTAGTTTGGCTGGAGCCCTGTAAACTTGCTTGGCCCTGATTCCCCTCTCCCTGAGAACTGGGCTCTCTCTCTTTTTCCCTTGCCCAGTGGCTGAGGTCTTTTTAACATGCAGGTGGTGGCACCTAAGGCCTGACCACAAGTAACACTCTTGCACCCTCCCTCTTCCCACCACCAAGGCTGGATGCTATGCCATCCAGAGGGACCAGAGTTTGTCCTGCTACTGGATATTGGGGCCTTCCCTGCTGGCTCCCCTCTAGGGACTAAGTCTAGCCATAGCCTTATCCATCCTGGCTTACTCCTCTCTCCCTCCAGTCCTACTGCGGAGGTCCCAGCACACCTTAGGATGAGACCACAAGGTGTGTCCTCCTTCTGGGCCTTCTCCCAGTCCCTGTCACTTTCCCTCCATTTTCTTGCTACTCTGGCATTAGCTCTAATTAGACAAGGTTGATATAGGAGAAATCCTTAGGTGAGTACGTAGGTCTGTTGAATAGGGTAAGGGCATGCTAGCTGTAGTTGGGAGGGAACTGGCGAAGATGTAATGAGTTGGTTTCCCTTCTCTCTGGGACTTCTGCTGTGGAAGGTAGGGTGATTCTGGGGCTGGCCATGTGGGAGGTCAGTTGGGAGTGTTTATGATGGGCTTAAGGTTCAAAGACGGAAGAGGGAAAATAGTTCTTATGCGATCTCCACTTATTGGTACTGTCAGTTGACTATTCACTCTTTCTTTTTAGGTATTACTTTCAATAGTATTTCTGCATATCAAGGAGCCCTGGTATAAAGATTGATCCCACCTGCATGTTGTGCCTATAAAGAGGCAGTGTCTGCAACATCCTGGTCAGAAAGTGAATCTAGTAAAGAAAGCTGGTTAAAAATGCCCAGGAATGATCAGAGCTGAAGAACGATCTGTGTGTGTGCATGTGCATGTGCGTGCATGTGTGTGTGTGCATGCATAAGGGGTGGGAAGCTAGTGGGTGACCCAGTGGATGCCATATGTCCCTCCAAAGACTAAGGGGCATGTTCTACAACAACTGGCTGTAGTAGCATAGCAGCAGCTCATGTCTCCATCATTATTAGTTCTTTAGGGCAGAGTCTTTGGCATTTACTTAATGCTAGGGCTATAAATGAAATTTTAGTTACCATAAAAGCGTAGTACCAACAAAAATCTGCCACACCTCTTTGAAATACCATCCGAAAGTATAAAAACCACATGAATTCAGACAGGGAGTAAGCCAGCCTTAAAACAGGAAGTATACTGCAAGGTATTTTAAAACATATTAGGTTTCAAGTTTAAGAGTAATCGGGGGAAAATGAAGTTGTTGTTGATGTTTCATGGCAGAGGCCTTTCAAGGAAGGGCTACTTGCAGACTTACTTGTAGCCAGAAATTCTGGACTTTCTGACTATCGTCTCACCCTTCAGCTAACTTCCAGAATGCCCATAGCTTATACCAGTGTCAGTGACACAAGCTGATTTCACTGTGGAGTCAACTTAACAGTAACTATTCTTTCACTAGCACTTTTTCCTGCCATACAGTATTTTCCCCAGTAGAATTGTCTTTTCTGTCTCTTTTGAGGACAAAGACTCCATTTTAGTATCATCATTACCCCCAAAGCACATAATAGGTTTCTCAGACATATTTATGGGGAGATTGCCTTTCTCATAGGCAATGTGCCTGAGAGGACTCATCCTTGGTCAAGCTTGAGAAGATCTATGTACGTAGAATCCTAATGTGGGAGACTTACTTTCTGGTGAGACTCTATACATTCTCGCTAGGAATTTTAATTACTGGTAGAGATTATGGGGTGGTCACAAGCCCTTGGGAGCCAGGCTTTGACTTGGTAGTGATTCAAACATGGCTAAGAGATGCTAGGAGGGATTTATTACCCTCTCCTCTTGGCAGGAGTGAGCTAGGAATCTATTCTTGCCCTGGGCCTCCATTACCTGCTGATGGGGTGCTGTGGATTTCAGCAGTCTGAGTTCCTACCTGTCCTACGGAGGCAGCAGAAAATGTAACACTGACCCAGGAGTACTGCTTGACTCCTTCTGCTTCCCGACTTCTTTCTTAATCCTAATGGGTGGCTCAAATCATGTCTAGAGAGTATCATCACCATGCTTCTCAGGCTCAAAGACCGAAAAAAAAAAAAAAAAAAAAAAAAGGAAAACCCTGTTTATTTGCTTACACAACCCTTAGCACCGTGCCCTGTGAATCAGACCTGGTATTTGGCTATTGATTAAGATGAGACCTACCCTAACCTACGCAGAGTGGCCAAACCCCAAGACCGGCCTGGCTTTACTGCTGGCTCGTGTCTGGTGGGAGTAAGGGTCCAAAGATTGGATTTGAAGCCAGAGCTGTACTGAGCTGTATGTAGGACACGAGCCGTCTCCGCAAACCTCTCATCTTATGAGAGTTACGTGCCAGCCAAAGGAGAATTGGGGAATCTGGGTAAATCCCACCTACTTCCCCGGGCTGTCTAGGAAGGATGCTGATGCTTCGTTGAGGAATTTATAATTTATTTCCCATGGCAACCAGGCAGCAAGGATAATTTAGGTTATGAATAATAACTTAAAAACATTAAACAAATTTTAGATGGTTTCAACTTTCTTCCTAATTGGATTTCTCCCCCCCCCCCCTCCAAACCAGGGTTGTTTATATAGAAGAAACTCATTCTACCTTTTCCTTCTACCCCTTTTGTGCTGTGTAATGCTAGTGCCTGATTAGTGGCCAGTAGAGGCCATTTGAGGTCAAGACAGAGCCCAAAGCAGGGTTTCTCAGCCTCGGCACTACTGATATTCTTAGCGGCGGGGCCGTCCTGTGCTGTCTGCAAGGTATTTAGGAGCATCCCTGGATTCCACGCACCGCTTCTCCAGTTGTGATCATGAGTAGGGGTGGGATGAGAATCACTGGCCTAGAGGATCCACCAGAGTGATTGATGAGTCTCCCCAGTCACCTTCTTTCCCTCTCTTGCTCCTTCCATATTGTACAGTGCCATTATTACCTACTGTGGTTGAGTCAAGTGAAATATGTGGCATCTCTGAGGGAATTTATGGAGTCATCTGACCAGAGGTCATGGAAAGAGAATGGGATTTGGAGTCAGAAAACCCAAAGTCAAGACCCTATTAAAGTGATAGAGTAGATGGGAAATGCATCTCCCCCGATCTCAACTTCCCTTCTCCAAGCGTTCTTGGTATAGGAGGAATCTAGGAATCTGACAGCCTCTGTTGGGGGAACTGAAGTTCTCCACCCCGGTGGCTCAGAGAAATATTCTTGGCCCAAGTGGTTGTCCTTTGTATGTTCAAGGATGGAGTCAAGTTCTCTGGTGACCGTATTACTATTTCTAAGGGTCACCGTCAAAGCTGCGGAAACAGGAGGAATATGCTTTCCTCATGGGAGGCTGGACGGTGTTTTGTTTGGATGATAATGATACTTGTGGTGCACTTGGTAACTAAGGAGGAAAGATGACTTCAGTCTTATTGGTGGGAAGCCTAGCCAATGGTATTTACTGTTGTCCTCCTGGTGAAGGGACCTGGTGAAGGTTAAAGGGAACCTGCTCTTTTCATGTGTGAGGTGGTGTGGAGATTCCTGAGGGATGTTGGGTGGGTTTAGGGGTTGACTTGAGCAGGGACTACAGGGTGGGAAGAGAAGAGGAGATTGGAGAAGTATAGAGAAGTTATTAATGCAAGGAAAAGCGCTCCACCTCCATCCCTTAAGGTGGGCACTGAGGAAGGAATTTCAGGTTTTTTCCCTTTGAATTGCTTGTCGGACTCATTAGAAACTGCTTGGAGCTCCGGAACACCCTAGCAGGGCGTTGTTCTAGGCACTACATAACCTAGGCTAAGGAGGAGGTAAGGCTAAGGAGGAGGCTATGGCAATACCAGGGAAGGGGCCAGGGAGGGTGTTGTTGATGTGGAGCTGAGGGGAGGGTACCCAGGCCTCTCATTGCAGATGCCTGTCCGAGAGGGCTGAGGCCAGCACTCTATCCCTCTTCCCTGCTTAATTTTTCTAGTCACACCTAACATCCTCTGACATAGTCCTACTGGAATACAAGCCTATGTTGGCAGGGGTGTTTCATTATTGCATTCACTGATGGTTATGCAGTGCCTAGAACAATACCTGGCACATAATACATATTTTTTGAAAGGACCAGTCTTCCTCCCAAACACACACACACACACACACACACACACACACACACACAGAGCCCTACTACACCCAGATTACATATACGATAAGCTACGCAACATTTGGCAAACCACTTGCCTCTCCCAGTCTTAGGCTTCTCATCTAAAAAATGGAATTAATGAAAACATCATTAATTGGATTAACAGGATTGTTTTAAGGATCAGCATGGCAGCCCTCCGTGATGTGAATTACTATTACTATTACTTTTACAATGTGCATAAAGCATCTGGAATGCTAGAGATGCTATTGTAAGTTTCTGGAGATCTTTCAAGCATTTCAGAGCCAAGGGCGCCAACAGAGAGTAGAAGCAGGAAGCAAGCCTGTTGGAGGATGTGTCCTGTAGAAGAATTCCGGCCACCAGGGGGCACTCACCATTGAGGTTTGGAGAAATCCCCTTTGACTTGAGCTTCATCTGATCATTCTAGATACTACTTTTCTTTAAAGGAGTTTCCTGATTTAAACTCTTACTCTTCAATTTGTCCTAATTCGACGTTAAAAATTTCTGCCCTTTCTGACTTTGGATCTGGTTCTAACCATCTTTGGATACTGACCATTTAGATCCATACCTCAGGGCTCTTGCCTTCACCAGTTCCAACCTATGCACTGTGGTGGCATTTTGGGTGTATTTCTATATGGTTTGAACTACATATACTTGAACTATGTATAACTGACATTGTTAAAGAGTAAAAGTATCTTCAAACTAATACCGAGAGGATAATATCTGTCGTGCAAATTATCCCAGAGAAACCTTCCATCTGGTAAGCCGTATAAAATAACATGGCTGCCATTGGGCAGGTGGGAATTTAGATACTTCAGAGTCTGCATGATACTGGAGTATAATTGCTCCGGAGTGGTCATTTCTGGGACTGGGTCAACTTTCCTGTTGGTGAAAGAAACAGAAAATATCTTAGTAGATGGGATAAATGCAGACACATACATGATCCCCTGCCCCATATACACAGTGTAGTAGTTATTGGTGCTATTTGCAAAATATGTTAGGCTTCCTGACTCTCTTGTGATTGGATGCGCCATGTGACTGACCTAGCCTATCAGTTGTGAGCAGAAGTGATGTGTGTCATGTTTGGTGATATGAGAGCTTCTAGAATGCTCTTTGCCATGAATCTGGGCAAGGTTCTATATAGGAGCTGCTTCACTAATATGAGAGCTGGAATAGAGGCCTGGCGATCACCATGGGCGCCATACAGTCGCAGGTGATCCCTGGGCCACAAGGTAGGATGAATAGATGTTTGCTGCTTTATGCTACCAAGAGTTGAGGCTGTTCCTGCAGTATGGCCTTACCTACCCTGACCACTAGCCTGATATACACAGTGTACCTAGCCTGATACACTCAGATGAAAGAATCAAAGGAGTCTGGTATTATGTATTGTTTGTTTGATACTTTGAGATCTGTAACTTTGTCTCTAAATGTTTCACATACATCACAGTTAGGAAAATACAACTTTCCTGAGAAATAAAATCATATTATGTATCCATATTTCATCCCTCCTTTCTACATTGAATTTGAATTTACCCACTTTTAGGAATACATCAAGTTTGAGTTAAGATACTAACCTGCATTAACCTAGGAAGAGATTGTAGAATTCTCTAAGATTTCCATCTACCCTTTAAAATGCCTTTTGTTAACCTAAATGGAATAAGAAGTTGGGTCCTATTTTGGGTCCTTAAAATTCCAAATTTACATAATGATCCTATAGTGGGTTGAATAGTTCCCCTTAGAATGTGACCTTATTTGGAAATAAGGGTTTTGCAAATGTAAAGATGAGGGCATATTGGATTAGAGACAGCCCTAAATCCAAAAGCAAGTGTCCTTACAAGAAGAGGAGGTGTTATTACACAGACACACAAGCAGAAAGGAAAGCCATGTGAAGCTGGAAGCAGAGACTGGAATATGTTTCCACAAACCAAGGAATTCTGAGGATTGCCAAGAGCGCTTCCTACCTCCCCAGAAGCATAAAAGACAAGAAAGCGTTTTCCCCTAGACCCCTCAGAAAAAGCATAGCTCTGCTGACACTTTGATTTTGGAGCCTCCAGAACTGAGAGTTGTTTGAAGTCATCCAGTTTGTGGTGTTTTGTGATGGCAGCTTTCAGGAGCTTAATAGAGATTCCAAACCAGAAGTAAGTCTCTTACTCATAGGCTGGACCCAAGGCACAAATGACATAGAAGGAAGGGACAGAAAGAAGCCCCCAGGGATATCCACTATTATCACTTTGTATTTTTAATTTAATTTTTCTTTTTTTAAGATTTAATTTTTGCATAATCTCTACTCCCAAAAGGGGGCTCAAACTTAGGACACTGAAATCAAGAGTCACACACTCTACCTACTGAACCAGCCAGGTGCCCCTCCACCGTTACCACTTTTGAGGGAGATCCTAAATGGAAAGTGATGGCACCATTTTGGAGGGCATTTTTCAAAACATATCAATATTTGGGGCACCTGGGTGGCTCAGTCAGCTAAGTGTCTGACTCTTGATTTCAGTTCAGGTCATGATCTCAGGATCATGAGACTTACCCTGCATCGGGTTCCACACTGGGTGTGGAGCCAGTTTTAAGATTCTTTCTCCCCCTGTGCCCTCCCCTCACTCTCTCTCTAAAAAAAGGTATCAACATTTAAAGTTGGCTTAACTTTTTTTTTAAAAGATTTTATTTATTTATAGACACAAAGAGAGGCAGAGACACAAGCAGAGGGAGAAGCGGGCTCCATGCAGGGAGCCCGATGTGGGACTCGATCCCACATCTCCAGGATCACGCCCAGGGCCAAGGCAGGTGCCCAACCGCTGAGCCACCCGGGGATCTCAAAGTTGGCTTAATTTTTGACCTTGAAATTTATAGTAACATCTCCACAAATGTGCAAAGACATACACACAAATATTGCAACGTTGTGTGAAATAGTGTAAAGTTAGAAAAGGCCCAAATGCCTGGTTGCATAAATTATAATACCTCCATATGTAGACTACTATACAGACACTAAAAAGAAAAAAGTAATTAGATACAGGTGATTGTTAAACAACATTCTGAAATACCTGAATGTCACTGAATTGTTCACTTTAAAATGGTTAGTTTTACATTATGTAAATTTCACCTCGATAAAATAAAAAAAATGTAAAAATAATGAAGTCGTCTGTATGTATTATCATGGAAAAGACTGCTAAAAAGTATTGTTGATTGCAATTACAGAGCAGTAAGCATGCTATTATTTCATTCCAATGAATATTAATTAGTCTGTAAATTAGAATTTGCATAGAGAAAATCTGGATGCAAATACATTTAACTGTCTCCATTGGTTAGCTTGCAGCAGGTTGGTGCGGGGGGGGGGGGCGGTGGTAGGGAGTGATTATGGGGAAACTCATTTCCTACACCCTGGATTATTTGAACTTTTCACAACAGATGTCATTTTGTAATCAGAAAAATAATAAAAATAAATCAGACTCTCATATTATTTTTATTCTCTCTCAAGTAAAAAGGGGAAAAACCCCAGACTCCACCTAAGCTTTAATGGGAGGCGCAGAAGGCATTGCAATTTTATGGCATTTGTTCCCCCACCGATTTCACTTAGTCAAATAAAATCACTTTCTAAATTGCTGCTATGCAGAGGTGACAGGCTGATCACAGATGCAAAGATCACTTTGGCTAATTTGTGACAAGCAAAATGTACCCATACAGAGGAAATGCAGAACAAGTCTGATGCTAGGGGTCGCCAGCAAGGTGTGAGCTGTGGGGAGTGTACGTGCTTCTACACCATGTAATGGGTTGCTTAGAACTCCCCACCCTGCCCGGAAAAAAAAAAAAAAAAGAAAAAAAGAAAAGAAAGATGTTCTATTTTGCAAAACGCCAGCATATAGAACAAAATACTAAATTCGTGTTTTTTATTCCCTTGGGAAAAATTATACTACTTTATGGGTAAAAATCTTTCATGAGGATACGAGAATAGGTTGCCTACCTACTGAGGGCAGAAGGCTGGGCAGGGACTTTAGCTCGACTTGTGTATGTGCAGACGTGCTAGAGGGATCCCAGTTTGTGAAGAGGATTCAGGCTGCCTTGTGGGTTTGCTCAGCCCAGGAGGACCCACCCACAGGAAGCAGGTTTGATATTCACTGTGTGTGTGTGTGTGTGTGTGTGTGTGTGTGTGTGTGTGTATGTGTGTAGTGTGGCAGCAGGGGTGAAATGAGGCAAGCTGGGTGACTATAACCCATCTTCCATCTTCGGTAAGGCTAGCACATACTGCTTATTAACTTTTGCCTTGGCACTTCAGGTTTTTTCTTTTCTTTTTTTTTTCCTGCTGATACACTAGTGCGTTGGCACAAAGCAATTATGCTGAGCTATGGCTCTCTCATCACATAAAGTCAAGATGAGTTAAGATGGAGAAAAGTCTCCCAAACTCTCTATTTAATGATTATTTTTTTGGCTAGAGAAACAACCCCGATGATAACCAACATTCTGAGCTAATTTGTGCTTTTGTGGGAGCACCCCATAACCCAAATGGCCAGCATAAGCCAAATGGCTAATTACTAGGGGAAAACAAAATGGAAGCTTGGCATTGCTGGTGGAACATTTTTCAGTCACCTTTGCTCCGTCATGTACGCCTACATAATTAACATGTGTGCATTGTCAATTAAATCTTTTAATGTGCATAGCAAAATGAACTGATTCTTTAAAAAAAAATTTTTTTTTAAAGTAAGCTCTAGGCCCAACGTGGGGCCTGAACTCATGACCTCAAGATCAAGAGTTGCATGTTCTGCTGATTAAGCTAGACAGACGCCCCCAAATTGACTGATTCTTAGTTCAGGCAAGGGCATTGGGTCTAAGCAATAGGTGGTGGGTCACCCCTTCTGGGGGCCATAGAAGGTGCCTCTGATTCTGTCCCTGGGAAATGGTCAATGCCATTTTGATCTGTGTACTCCCCCTCCTCTGGTGGTTTTTGAGGAGACTTAGCACTAGTATTTTAGAGGCCCAGAGTCCCAGTGGTTTTGGGAAACATCTACCCCTTCTCTGACATCTGCCACAGGTTGAATGGGCTGAGCTGAAGCATCTAAGCCGTTTTAACCCACGTGTCAGGTCCACTTTGCCAGCCCAGGTTTGCCTGGGTACCCCAGGACCCTACATCCCTCCTCATACACTGGCAAGCTCACGCCAGTCACTTAGACGGAGAGGTGAGGGGGTAGGAGTGCTGAGTGTACAGAGAGAAAGCCTGGGGGATGTGGGGCTTGCACCTGGGAAAATGATGAGAGAGCACTGGCGCTCTGGGCTGTGTTCTCACAGGTCAGGAACACGTGGCGGGCGAAAGACAAAGAGCCTCACCCCATTGGGTGGCTCAGAGTCTGTTCTTGCCCTAATGAATTGTGTCTGATTGTGAAAATAAGCTTCATGACCCAGGGGCAGGGCTGGCTGTGATCATTTCATTATCCTGGCAGCTAGTCCAGCCAGATTTCACCTGGCGGATGCCAGAGAGCTGTGCCCCCTCTTAAGGAAGAAGGCAAACAGCCTCTGGGGAAGATACTTCCCAGAACCAGAGCTAAAGCCCAGAGATGAATCTTGACTGAGGGCTCAGACCTCGCGCACAGCTAGCGTTTGAGTTCTCCCAGCAGCCGGGCACTACAGGTGGCCCTTGCCTTCAGCCAGCCAGCTGTAATCACATGGCTGACCTCACCCCCCACCCCTGCCCCGAAGAGGCATCTTGACATGGGCTGGGAAGGAGCTGGGGCCTCACTGGGCCCACATTACCCCATGGATGGAGATCCTGGGTCCTGAAAGTGGGGGTGACTTGGAACATGGTGGCCAGTTGGAAACCTCCTTATCCTTCCCTTGACCACCACTGCCTCCACTGAGGAGGCTGGAAGAAAGAACTCCTCTGGGCACCCTCTTCCCTGCTGGTTTTTCTACCATTTGGTTAGATGGAATGGATTGTTTCTTGCCACTGCAGGCTCCTTGGGGCCTATCACCTATCAGCACGTTGACTTGTTTCCTCTTATGTGGTGCCAATCGGCTGCCCTAGGTGACATGGGAAGCATTGACGTTGCAGGGAAAAAACACTTGGGGTGCTGGGGCCCACGGACAACCCATGTAGGGCAGTCCTGGCTCTATCCATGAGGTGAAAAATGTACAATGAACTATTATTAGGTCCACGAGGTAAAAATGGAACCATGTCAATATATATGCAGCTCATATTAGATGTTTTTATACTTCTATCTCATTTCTGGCAATTGCAGTGTTCTTCTCAGGGATGTCATATTGGGGGGGGGTGGAGGAAGGGTTTAGGATTTGAGTCCTTTAAGACCATTCCCATTTGCCAAGCCGCCCCTGCTACTCAAGGTTCTGCTGCTGGAGCTCACTCACATTTGCCCCATTTCCAGGCATTTTTTTCTCCTTCTATATCACGGACATTCGTTCCATAGTTTTCAAGGGCAATGGTAGGAAAAGCCAGGGGAAGCTGGGTTAGCTTTGGCCAAACTGAGTAGAGCCACAGGGGAAAACTGTGTTTGTCCACGTTACCTTTCTTCTTAAATTCCAGACACTGAAAGCTATCTTCCAACCATGACCTTCATTCACTTACCACATTTATTGAGTAACTGCATGAGTTTAGAGAATTGAGAAAGAAGCACATAGCTGCATTATTTCAGTAAATGCTGGCCTCATCATAAAAAAGGGAAAGAAAAAAAGTCAAGCAAATATCCCCAAACTTGTTCCAGGACGGATTTATTATGCAACTCGTTGCTGGCTTGAGCTTTTTATGAAATCTCTTTGCTCATTTTGGGTTGTCTACTCCACCTTGACGTTCTGGCAGATGGGGAGGCATAGCCGCCATCTGTCTTTATTTTTCTAACCCCACCACAGGACATTGCAAAGTGGGCACTGCAGGGACATCCCACACTGCCAACCCCGTTCTTTCACCCAAATGCCCGCTGCGTCTCTGCCCAGATCCCTGGTGGTGTGTGTGTGTGTGTGTGTGTGTGTGTGTGTGTGTGTGAGGCTGGCACAGGTCTCTGACGCCTGCCTGCCCTTTGGCTCCTTGAAAAGGAAAAGCAGGACCGGACTGGAAGGGCCTCTGAGCAAGCACGTTCTGCTGGAAAAGTACAATTTGGGGGTTTGGGCTCTTGGAGTCAAAGCCTCTTTCTGCAGGTGTTCTGTACTCACTATCACCAGTTTGCTCCCTGTCCCCTCCCAGGGAACATGATCCAGAGGCTGGAGAGGCACTGACTGATGTCCATAGGTTGGTTCTGCTTTGTGATGGGGCTGGGGCTGAAGCTCAGTGCTTCTCCTTCCATAAGCTCCTTGCAGTCAGGCCCTGTGGCCTCTTTGCCTGTCCCGGAGCCTGGCACTGCATTTGGCACCTCACAGGTAGTCAATACATACTTTTTTTAAAAAGTCATTGTCTAAAAGAAAGCAAATAAGGCAGGTGTGGCCTATGGAAAGAGCACATGACTTCGTCAGAGAACCTGGTCTGCCTCTCAACCTTGCTACTCATAGGGGTAGTGAATTCCTTAACCTTGCCAAACCTGTTTCTCCATTTATAAAATAGGGACAATCATGCTCTCCTCTTAAGGCTGCTGTGGGGATGAGATGATCTAGGATGTGGCTCTTGGTTCATGGAGGGCTTGGGCGGGGGAGTGTTTGCTATTTACCAGAGAGTTCCATGTGGCTCATCACAGAAGTTGGGATTTGGGTCCCCACTGTGGGGCCTTGGGAGCCTTGGGGTTCTGGGGAGAGTGGTAAGCCAGCCCAGGGGGTGCCAAGGCAAGGTCTGGCACACTGGCATCTCTGCACATAGCATGGTGTCTCCTGGCCTGAACTCACTTCACTGATTAGGTCTACACCTCCTGCACGGTGAGAGTTCAGGAGCTCTCCTACTCCATGGAGGTGTTGGTGAGGGCAAACACACTTTAGTAATATTGAACTGGGTTTCTAGCACAGGCTTAGAAAACTTGGTGAGTGTAAGCAAAGGGCGGGCAGTGAATAGGATGACCTACTTCTAGTATCACGTGGATTGGAGGTGAGCTCTGCCATTAATCAATTTATCAGGCAAGTCACGTAATCCCTCTTGGCTTTACTTTTCTGTTTTCTAAAATGGTGGGTGGGTGGCTACTGGGGAGTTGTTCTAGATCTGATCTCACCTTTTTTTTTTTTCTTTTCCTTTTGGCCACAATCACAGGACAGATGGCATTCACATGTGCAGCATATTCTTAGGGGTACACACAATTTTTGAGAAACCTTCCAAAATGTTGTGGGAGACTCAGGCATTCAACATTTTGAAATCACTACCGATATTAGCAGTTTAGCAAAACTGCTTTCTTACTATGGGCCATGGGCATAAATGGGATCGGCTGCACATTATATGCAGTTTGTTTGCGAATGCTCTGAGTCTATGCCGTCTCTACCACATGAGTACCCACATCAGAATGTGAGTGAGGAAGCTATTCTTATGGGGTAGCTGTGATTTGTCCTTATTTTACTTAAAAAGCCGTGATATTCAGTGTTGGATTCTTGACTAGTAGCAGCATGTATCTTGTGATACAACTGATAACTTGTATCATGACATGCCCATTTGTTGTTAATTGGAGCAGAGGATTAATGGATCAGATATTTTTTTAAAGGGTCTTTCAGCCTTATGGGTTGGTTCTATCGATTTCACATATGTCTAGGACTTGCTCAGACAGAGAAATTCCACTCAACAGCAGGCTACTGTGAGTGGAGAAGAGAAGAGGGGGGACCCAGAGTCCGAGAATTTTCAAAATCCTCTTTCTCCATAACTCACCTGCTGCAGACATCATTTCCAATCATGGCGTATATGACGATGGCTGGATGGTCCAACAGTTGGTTCCTAGACAAACTGAGAAGCCAGAGATAGAATCTGAATGGCAAACACTCAGAAATTGAACTTTGTCACAGCCTGGGCCTGTCATAGGATCTTTGTATGGCCCCCCCTTTTGGTAGCTTTTTGCTATTTTTCTTTTATTCTAGGATCATCTTTCCCATTTCCCCCTTCTGTATAATCTGTAAATTACTTTTCCATTAGGGAGAGGCCACAGAGGTGCATAGAATTGGAAAGAGCGGATTAAAATCTCTAGGAGGAGCACATGATGCCATCTTCTTAGGATTTTTCATTGTGTTTGTCCTCGTGTTATTGGATTACTCCTGTCCAAATTTGTAGGACATCCTGATGACTGTGCTCCTGTATTGAACTTTCAAAATTCCAGGGTTTCCCAAGTTTCCCTTCTGGACACCCAGGGCCTTCCTTCTGAATTTGAAACTCAAAATGAGCACATAAAATAAGAAGATGAGATTTTTTTTTTTTTTGCCTTTTTTCAGCTACTCTGGCTAGACTTAATTTTGACCCTCTTTGTATGCATTTTTATGATTCTTCTTTAAGGACATATGCAAGTTAATCACTTTCTATGTCCACTGGCTCAAGAAGTGATAATGTCCCAGTATTTGGGAGTGACTAGCAAGGTACTAGTGCTCAGTACAAGTGATCACAGGGTGACAGCAGAGGACTTTCATTCTTTTTTCACAATGAGGAACCCAATCTAAAAACAACTTTGTGTGTCCCTCTTTCACTTACCTTTCTATAAACTTCTTCAGGTTTTGGGAAGATGCACCTGCATAATTAAAATTAAGAAAATAATTAAAGTTAGTGAGTTCAATTCAACACTATCAGTGTGATAGTCTGATTCACTGAAATCATGAAGAAGCATCAGAGGTCATCCCCACCATCACGCGCATGGGAATGACTTTATCCTGGAGCTCTCCTTGATGAGTTTTCTGTTTACTCGGAATTATACAAACATAATCCTCAATTATTTGGATTTATGAGTGTCAAGATATTTCCTAAGCATGAATGAGTGAACTTTCTAGTAGATGCAAGAAAATGATATATCACCAAAGAGAAACTACCTCAAAGATTAAGGAATTAGGTGAGTGATGAGAAGAAATAAAAAGGATTCTTTGAGAACTACCCACCTCCCTAGAAAGCCCCATTTAATCACTTACTAGCATCCCTGCTCACTCCTAAGGCTCTTCCCGGCTGGCTGGCCTGTGCAAGGTTCAGATTGTACAGGGGATATATTTCAGCTCCTATAATGACATGAATGACCATCCTTCCCCTACCCTTGCTACCACCTGTAATGTATCTCTTACATAAAACTCATATCCATTGAATACTCATTTTGTTGTGGACACTGTTAGGCACTTGTATTATTAGTCCTTGTAGGCCTTGGCATAGCTGTGTGAGGTAGGGACAGTCATATTCCCATTTTCTAGATGAGGAAACTGAGGCTTACTTAAGTGACTTGCCTAAAGCCACACAGGTAATAATATGGAGAACTGCAATCCAAGCCCAGGCCCTTCAGTGTGCAATACTGAGTTCTGGCATCGCTCCTCTGGGCTGGGAGTCTAGAAAGAGTGAGCCCAAAGAGGTTTATTGCTAGTTTGTTCCTTGGAGGCTGGTCTGCAGTAACAGGTGAGTAATCGTCAGGTGGGTGGTACAACTCACAGGAAAAGACAGGTTCTCCTGTAATTTTCAGCCTTAGGAGTTGAGGGGCAGGTGCATTTGGTGACAGAGTCAGCGAGTGTTCTTAAGGATCCACATGGGAAAAGGGGGGCATGCATAGCTGCGAAGGCCATGATGGCCCCCACCCCCCTGAAGGAGTGTGGCCTGCCGTGACCGCCTGTTCTTCACACACCACTAGACTCCAACTCTAGGGGCAGCGCTGATGTTCTCTTGATTGATTCAGGAACCTCAGAATGTTAAACAAATGTTGCTTTATATCCTATTTTCCTGTGGTAAAATATACAACACATAAACTTTTTTTTGAGCATACGATTAAGTGGCATTAGGTACTTTCACATTATTATGCGACCATCGGCGCTATCCATCTCCAGAACTTTTCCATCATTGCAAATTGAAACCCTGTACTCCTTACAGAATAACCAGGGGCCTATATGTGGGATCATATAATTTTTGTCTTTTTGTGCCTGGCTTATTTCATTTAGTGTTTGCAGTTCATCCATTTGTAGCATGTGTCACAATATCCACTCTTTTAAAGGATAATAGTTTTCCGTCATATGGATATACGCTTCCTGTTTGTCCATTCATCTACTGATAGGCAGTTGGTTTGCTTCTACGTTTTGGCTGTTGTGAATAATGCTGCTATGAACCCTGGTTGGACAAGTGTCTGTGTAGGTCCCTCCTTTCAATTCTTTTAGGTATATACCTACTTGAAATCGCTGGACCATAGGGTAGTGCTATGTTTAATTTTGGGGGAACCACCACACTATTTTTACTTCCTTTATGTAGTGAGGCAGGGTATATTCAATATTCACCCAAACATAGACATTTAGGGTGAGTCAGTTCATCTCAGCACACGTAGGTTAGATTGTTCCCTATTTTTCTCAAAAGGGAGGAGAAGAAGGACAGCCAGTGCCTGCTGACATACCCTCTGGTGGCTCCCCATCTTATCTGGACCTTTCATTCAGTTCTAGCACCATGACTCTCAACTTCCCATTTTCAGCTGGAAAACAATCAAGAGGTGTTTAATTCTCACTCTTTGATTTTTCTCTTAATGAGAAATGAAAACTAACGAAAGCCCAAGACATGAGTGGGGAAAAAAAAATTAAAGGACCAGGTCAGGCCAGTAATTTTCCTCATTATCCAGAGTCCAGCTGGGAATTTGAGGTGCAGAGCACCCACAGAGCCTGAGGAAAATGAAAATGAGAACCTGTCATGGCTTGCCCCATAGGCAGCCTCCTCCCCTGCCCACACCACCTGCATCCCTTTGCTGTGCAGGACAAGGATGGCAGGTCAACCTCAACTGGATGTGGTGAGTTTAGAAACAGTAATCACAAACAACCACTCAGGGAGAGAGGACATGCCTACTCTTCTTTACCCAAATGTTAATCTTTTTTTTTTTTCCTGGTGAATATTTATAATATAAGCACAGAATTCTCTGTGCTCTAGAGTTGTTGAGCCTTCCACAATTTACATTTCCTTTTGGGAATCTTAGTTTGATGAGATTATGTAATTAGTTTAGGTAATTCCCACATCACTTTCTCTTCTTAATTCCCTTTTCCTATTGTTCTGCTATTCCATCGAAGCCCCAGCAACATTTGCTGTCTCTCTCCCTCCCAAGCTCTGTTGTCTTTCTCCTCCTGGATACAGGCTTCTTCTCAGCTGCTGATTTTGCCGCTGCCATTTGTAGAGAATACTGAAGCAGCTGGTTCTGGAAGATGTGAGCAGGAAGCAAAGGCAGCTCCTAGCTTGCGGGATTTGGCAAAACAAGGGGAGCATTTGAAGAACTGCCACTACCCTTGAGAGGTCCATAGTCTGGTCTCTATGATGAAAGTTCAGAGAAATGGAAAAGGCAAGACTGTGAAGAGGGGAATTTGACTTAATTCATCAAGGTGGTCCAAGAGAGAATCTACCTGTCTCCAGTGAAGGAAAGAAGGGGGTGTTCTTTGGCCAACCAAGTCTGAATTCTGGTTCATTTAGTGCCTTTTAAATGAGGAATAGTGCATTGCAAGAAGAGAAGAAGGGTTTCACATCTCTCAGCATTGGTGGTCCTTCTACACATAAATTTCAGCTTACATTTCCACTGCCAGATTAGTGTTGCCAGCAAGTGCTTCATATCCTGGGCATTCAAATCAACTGGTAAGACACTTTTAGTGGTCTAGTAAATGAGCTTGTAACTCTTTGCTCCTGGCCCAGAAGACGTGTGCTCCGTCTCAAATTCTTCACGGAAAAAGTCAAGGTATACCTAAATCTAGGTCTTCATAAATTAATGCCCCACTTTGATAACACTTATGGATACTCACTCTGGGCCAGGCATTGCAATAGACAGTGGGGACACATCAGCAAATAGAAAAGACCATGGTTCCTGTTCTCGTGAAGCTTATAGCTACTTAACAGATAATGAACCTAAAGTGTTAGGATTCCAGGAAGCCCTGAAGAAGTCATATTAAACTTCCTACTGAAAGAAAAGTAGGTGTTTTCTTCCTTGAAGTTCTAAAACAGGAACCTGCTAATTAGTTTCCAGCATAATACCTGATTTTTTTTTGCATACGACTCAGAAAGAAATCTCTAGTTGAATGCCATCTTGGTTAGGACTGTAGGACAGGGGCAGATCTAGGTTTCAAGGTCTGAAGTTTATATATCTTGGGGGATTCTCTTTAAGGAAAATGATGTAAAACACAACAATGAGACCTGACATAAAGGGAAGCCAAATTGGAAAGAGACAAGCATCTTAAGCAACTGTGGTTAGATATCTTAAGTTGGTAAATTTTACAAACTCATGCAGCCCTTCAGCCACAGCCTTTTGGTGCTCCTTGGTGGTCATGTGTGAAGTCTTGGAGCATCAGCACAGGGTGGGACCTCCAGGAGCACGTGATCAGTCAGCCTACTTTACAGATGAGGCCCAGAGACAGAAAGAGACTAGGTCAAGGTCCTACAGCTACTAAGCAATAATCCACCTCAGATGCCAGTTGAACAACAGACATTAGTAATGACTGAAATAGATCAAGTAGCCTTGAGTCTAGGTCAGGAGGTATCAGAGGACAACAAAATGCTAATTTCACTGCTGGTTTGGTGGTACTCCTGGTCTTGGTTTTCTTCTTCAATCAACCTGCTGCTATTTACTTTCCACAGTTCTCCAGCACATGTCCCATACTTTCTGGCCAGGTGTCCTAGCTGTATTCCCATGGGGAGAGACTGAGTGTCCTTACTCTATTGTACCTCCACCAGAAACCTAAAAAACATTATAGAGAGTGTAAAGTGTTGTCATACGTGGACCTAAAGTAAATTTAATAATGGCTTTTAAACTTCCATCAGGGTTTAAGTACTGCAGATTTGGCTCATATTTTTATAATTGAGGAAGCATTTTGAAGAGTACAGCTTGTATAAATCCAGTTTAAAAAAAATCAGCCATAAGAAATTTAAATTCCTTCTTTTCTCTAAAAGTGTTTGTTTGTAATACGTAGAAACATGCAGACTAATACGTTGACCTTGAGCTCAAAATAGTAGGCACTTAATAACTGTTTGTTGTGACAGTTTCTGATGGTGTTTCTACTACTGAAAATGCTTTCAAATTCACAAGCGTGGCTCTGAATTTCTGTGACAAACTAGATAAACGATTTCCCAGAATGTATATTTTTAAAAGAATGTAACAGCCTTCCCAGCATGGTGCTCACCTGCCTCCTGGTCTCAAAACTTGACAGAGCTTCACAAACATCCTTCAGCCATGCTGAACTTCTCTCCTTCTCTTTCTCAAAGATATTTTGCCCTTGGAGCCTCTTTGCACTGAGTCACCATCTCCCTCTGCTTTTTGGATTCCTTTTTTTTTTTTCCTGCAGGGCGCACTGCTCAAATGTACCTCCTCTGGGAAGTTTTCTTGTCCTTCTCTAGACAGAGGTAAATGCCTCTCACCTCCAGGGACCTCAACCTACCTCTGTTTTTGTGTCATTTTATCAGAACCATAGTTGTTTCCTTATTTGTCTCTCTTTTCCATTTCGTTATGATCTCCTTGAAGGCAGGGACTTTGTCTTTTCATCTTTCTATTTCTAGCAGCTATTACAATATCGGAGAAGAAACAGAGGGAGTGGTGAGGGC